AAGAATTGACAAAATGATTTTAAAACACATCTAAGAGAATGCACAAGTAGAAAATGCCTTATGTACTATAGCAGCAGTGACTGGAGATGTGCTTTCGAATATAGCAGGCACATAATAAAGCTGTGGTTAATAACATGCAGTACGGTACTGACATAAGAACTGTCATTGTCAGATGGATACATTAACACAACAGATTAAGAAAAAAAATCCTCGTGCCCTGTAATAATTGTATAGTATTTGATAAACTAAGTGTAACAAAATAATGCTGAAAAAAGTCTATGGGGGATTGTGTTGTTACAAATGCAATCTATTAAAAAATATTAATGAGTTAAATATATTTAGAAGAATAATATAAAAATCAAGATATCAATCCATATTTAACTGATATTGTTAAGACTGAATTTCAAGAACATACTACCAAAGCAATCTACAGATTCATTGCAATCCCCATCAAAATATCAGTGACATTATTAACACAAATAGAAAAAGAATCCTAAAATTTATATGGGACCACAAAAGACCCCAAATAACCAAAACAATCCCGAGCAAAAAGAACAAAGCTGGAGGCATTGTATTACATGACTTCAAATTATACTACAAAGCTACAGTAACTAAAACAGTATGTTACTTGCACAAAAACAGTCATATAGACCAATGAAACAGAATAGAGAACTCAGAAATAAATACACCCATTTACAGTTCAATTCATTTGCAACAAAGTTGCCCAGAATGTATACTGGGTAAGAGACAGTCTCTTCAACAGATGTTTTCTAGGAAAACTGAATATCCACATGCAGAAAAGTGAAACTTGATTGCTATCTCTTGACATATATAAAACTCATATCAAAATCAATTAAAGACTAATATCTAAGTCCTAAAACTATAAAACTACTAGTATAAAACACTGGGAAAACACTCCAGGACACTGATCTAGGCAAAGATTTCTTGAGTAAGACCTCAGGAGCACAGGTAACCAAGGCAAAAATGAACAAATAGGATCACATCAAGCCAAAAAGCTTCTGAACAGCAAAGGAAATAATCAACAAAGAAAACAGATGAACCACAGAATGGGAGAAAACATTTGCAGACTATCCATCTGACAAGGAATTAATACACAGAATATATAAGAAAATCAAACAATAGAAAAAAACCATCAGAATTAAAAATGGGCAAAAGATCTGAATATATATTTCTTTTGGGCAAAAGAAGACATACAAGTGCCCAACAGGAATATAAAAAATGTCCAACATCACTAATCCTCAAAGAAATAGAAATTAAAACTACAATAAGATTCAATCTCATCCCAGTTAAAATGGCTTTATCCAAAAGATAGGAAATAACAAACGTTGATGAGGATGTGGAGAAAGGGGAACCCTCCTGCACAGTTGCTGGGAATGTAAATTAGTACAGTCACCACAGAAAACAATATGGTGGTTCCTCCAAAAACTAAAAATAGAATTAATATATAATCCAGTGATCCCACTGCTGGGTACATATCCAAAAGAAAGGAAATCAGTATATTGAAGAGACATCTGTACTCCCATGCCAATTGCAGCACTACTCACAACCAGGATACGGAATCAATGTAAGCGTTGATCAACAAATGTATGAATAAATAAAACGTGATACTACATACTATAGAATAGTATTCAGCCATGAAAAATAACGAAATCCTGTCATTTGCAATAACATGGATAGAACTAGAGGACAGTCATGTTAAGTGAAATTATCCAGGCACAGAAAGACAAATATTACACGTTCTTATTCACATGTGGGAACTAAAAACGATTGAATTAATAGAAAGTATAATGATGTTACCAGCTGCTGGGAAGGACAGTGGGAAGAGGACATAAAGAGTGAGTGGAGAATGGTAGACAGAAGGAATAAGATCTAATGTTCAGTCCACAACTGGGTGACTCTTGTTAACAACAATTTATTATATATTTCATAATAACTGAAAGAATGGGGTTGGAATGTCACTAACACAAAGAGGAGATAAACGCTTGAGGGGATGTATACCCCAGTTACCCTAACTGATCATTCCAGTTAGGGATTCTTAATTACAAATAATGAGGCAACATTTAAAAACTACTGCAAAGTATAATGATTCGTTTTAAAGGTACAAAGTGATATTCCAAAACCTCCTTCAACTCATTAAGGTGGTGAAGCTCTGATTCATGCATAAAATGATGGCTTTGACATTTTACACCCCCATTAGTGAAATGAATAATACAGTGTCTTCTACCACTAGAGCCAGCTTCTAAGCTCTCATCTTAGAGTCATCCATTGAAACCTGCCTCCCCACTGTTTCTCACAGGTCATCGAATTCATAGTCACTCACTGTGGTGCAGTAGTACTTCATTACCCTGTGCTGGGATTACGATACGTTCCTCTTAATGTTAATTCCTTGCCTTCCATTCTCCAATTCATCCTACTTTCCATTGTCAGATTAATCATCCTCAAATTCCAATTTCATGAAGTCATTTGTCTACTGAAATCCTCCACTGATTCTCCATTTCTTAATGTCCTACCTTAAACTCCCTCCTTAAGCCTTCCTAAGGGAGCTGGGTATCTGTTGCTTCTAATCAGATCACTCCAGCCCCTCGATGTGCCCATTGCCTTCTCTGTGCTTTCTTCACCCCGTTTCGTTTATTACCCTATTCATGAACTCCAGTAGGCACCAACGTATTTTTATATTTATCCCCTATAATACACATACTTATATAAACTTATATCAAGACTATTTAATAATAAGTTTCTCAGTTCCCCTGCAAGTGGCTCTTGTGAATAAAAGTCTTTCCCCCAAAAAACCAAAATGTTATGGGAGATCAGGAACCCTATTTTCCCACTAACTGCTGCACATAGCACAGTACACAGAAAAGAGTTCATGAACAGTGAGCACAAAGGAGGCAGCTGGCAAAGGGTAAGAAATTCTCATTCTGTAGCTTTGGAGTCTGGTCCCATCTCACGTGTGTGTGTGTGTGTGTGTGTGTGTGTGTGTGTGTGTGTCTTTCGTTTTGTTTTTTTCAGAGTCTCTCTCTGTCCTCCAGGCTGGAGTGCAGTGGCACTATCCTAGATCACTGCAAACTCTGTCTCCCAGGTTCAAGTGATTCTCCTGCCTCAGGCTCCTGAGTAGCTGGGACTACAGGTGCATGCCACCAGGCCTGGCTAATTTTTGTATTTTTAATAGAGACAGGATTTCACCATGTTGGCCAGGCTGGTCTTGAACTCCTGACCTCATGTGATCTGCCCACCCTGGACTCCGAAAGTGCTGGAATTACAGGCCCCAGCCCCATCTCACCGTTTCTTAACTAGCACTTCCCTAGCCAGGTCGTGGGCTTTGCTCATTCCACGTATTATTTTATTTGTTGATAAGGTTTTATCTCATAGTTACTTGTTTCTTTGAACACCACTGCCACCTCAAAAATAGATCAAGTATGAAAGCACTTTGAACATGTAAGGTTTTCTATATATTTAATGGTCTTTATAACCATTATTAGTCTTGGGAGCAAGTTAATTATACGACAGAGAAAAAAATCAGATATGCTGTCAGAGGACACGGGCTATCACTGACTCCACCTGGTTGGGAGATCATGAACTGCTACATTTAATCGCTATGAATTGCCACTTCTTCACCTATGAAGTTGAAAAATAACTCCATCTCTCTTAGAGCATTTCATTTATTCACCTACAAACAAAATCCTATATGCTCATATTTTGGCCAGCACTTAAATGACAGTTAGGATCAAATGATTAAAACAAAATAAATACAGAGAACAGAGTTCTAGTCCCAAGGAGTTCACAGGCAGTGAAAGCAATATATATAAAGGCAAAAACATACAATGTACTATGATCATTGCAGTAGAAGAATTTACTGAGTCCTGTGCACTTTAACCACACGACTGGAAGTCAAGAAAGACAACTCTTGAGCTGTGTCTAAAGAATGTGTGGAGCATTGCAGGCAGAGGGAACAAAGCATATTTACTTGAGGGTGAGGCCAGAGTTTGCCCAGCAATTTTCCCTAGTGTTGCATTCAGAAGCTTTTCTCATTTCTTCAGAGAGGTGAACCTGTCTGACTCAACTACCTCCGTATTTTCATCCTCACGAGATAACCTGGACTCCTGATTCCTATAAAACTTCGAAGTCATTACATGAGTACTTCCTGAACTTCCTTTCTGCATACTAATATGAAATCGTCATCTGCTGCCATTTCCCCCAGCGTGGACATTTCAATACTGTTCTCCACTTGCATCCTTGATTCCTTTCCCACTTCCCACCCCCACATCCTTCCCAGAGATGTGACTTCATCCTGTATTCATCTCTCCCTCTTCAGTCATACCTTCTTCATTAACGACTCCTGGCCATCGGTATGTAAACACACTTGCCTCTGCTATCAACAACCCACCCCCACCACACACACAGTTTTCTTCTTCCCCACTTCCTCTTACAGATTCAGTCTGTCTCCTTCCCTGATCAATCTCCAAGATTGTCTCCACCCCTCAAACCACTCTGATTTCCGCCCTCACAGCCCTATTGAAGCTGTCCTTGTCCACTTCACCAAAGACCTCCTTGTTGTTACTTATCTTCAGTTCTCCTAACACAATACTTCCTTTGCTCCCCTCCTTTCCCCTTGACAGCGCTCTTTAAAGTACTATTTACGTCCACCTCCCTTCTCAGGGCACACCCTCTCCATGCAGTTTAAATGATCAGGTACTTGCTAACTCCCAAATCTCAGCCTCATTTCCTTTCTAAACTTCAGACTTACTGTATTATTCTTGTCCTGCTCAGGACTCTGAACTTTACTGAGCTCATTAGAATCATTTAAAGGTTTCTTTAAGCAGGAGACTGACTGAATCACATCTGCGTTTTAGAACTATTACTCACGAAAATGTACAAAATACAGTAAAGGAATAAGAAGCCGGAGTCAAAGGGACTAAGACATCTCTAAGGCAAGCAAGAGAATGTGGTAGAGAATGGAATGCCGTATTAGGTCTCCTTACCTTGAACGGAGGGCTGGAGTCACTTGGCCTTGCCGAAAAATCAAAGGAGATAATGAGATCAACCCCTCTCTGAGGTCTCAGTATCAAGGGATACGGCAGGTTAAATGTGAGCCCACTGTCCACTACGTGAATCTTTTTACTTTTGACATCCAGGGGCTCATATATTCGCTCAAATTCATCGGGATCTTAAAAACATAAAAGAAAAACAAGAATGAATTAAATGATCATTCATCCGTATTTATCATCTAAAAACGTTTGTTTAAAATGAAAGACAGAATTTCATATGATTAGGCCCTTAGGCTTTGGAGACAAATAGAGCTGGGCATGAGACCAACTTTAGCAATTGTAATATCATATTTAAGTCTTAGTTTCTTCACCTGTAACATGAGGACAAAAGTAATTATCAAATAAGGTTGCTGTGAGGTTTTACTGGGACAAGGCATGGAAAGCACTTAGCTCAGGTGCTGGTATTAACTCTAAGCTGTGATCACTTTAATAGAATTATGGTACACTACATAGGTCTTTACAGGTTTCTAAACATTTCCTCATGCACCATCTTGTTTAATTCTTATAACAGGTGAGGCAGAGGACAGCTGTAGTGGAGGGCGAAGCCAATGAAGAGTCTGTCGAAGGTGGCATCACTGGGAGGTGGCAGACTCTGTATGGATCCCATGCCGCCTCTCTCGGGGGTGAGTGTGCATTCCACCACAAGGTGGGAGCCCCGGAAAATCATCCAGGCAGCACACTGCAAATGGTGGTATGTCTACCACCATTCAGATTCGACTCTAGATAGATACCCGTTCTTCTCTGCTAGACTTCATATTGTGAGTACACGGCCAATAGGTAAGTAAATGTATGAGGAGGGCAGTTCATAAAGCCATCAGTGCAATGAAGAAAACGATCAAGGACACTGTCATGAGGAGTCACTTCAGTTGGGTGGTCGGGGAGATGTGTCTGAGAAGGAAACCTGACACCGAAACAAGAATAATGGTACGGAACTGCCATCGAAAGATTGGGAGGGCGCGATCCAGAGGTTTGCAGAGAGAGGGAGGAGCTAGAGCAGCAAGGGTCCGAAGGCAGAATCGGACTGGGTGTGTTTGAGGAGAGACGGCAAGGAGCCCGCAGTCTGAGGACAGTATGAGGGGAGATCAAAATGAGATGGCAAGGGGTCTGAGGACACAGAGGGCCTAGAGATCATTAACTTCATGAAGAAACAGTACTGATAACATACTCCCCTTCATGTTTATGTGTGGTGCTCCTAATTCACTTGCCGGGAAAACGAAACATGACCAGAAGAGAACTGGTTTGAACTGAACTGAATAAAACGCCATGCAGCTGCTTTTCTCCGTTCCCTTGTCCACACTCTTATTTCCTCTGCTGTTAAGAAGAAGGCTGGCTAAGCCCAAGAGGGGGGCCTATGACAGTAGAATGAAGTGAAGATGGTCGCACCAGATACGAATATGTACGTATGACCTTATACATATGTGCACACATACACGCTCAGCACACAGCAGGAACCGAGTGTATGTTAGTTTCCCTCCATATGCTTCTAAGTAAGAATAATACTACCACTCTATAGTCGATTTTACTTATTACATTTTAAGAGCATGAAATCAAAAACGAAAGAAAATCTTTCAATTCTTCCTGTCCAATTAAATCCATAATCCTCACTGTCAGTAAAGGTTGAAATAAAACCACCAATGCGACAGTCATAATATTTTCTTCAGTGTAAAGTGAAAAATAAGACTTCAGCATAGTTATTAATACTAAGAAACATTAATATCCTTCTAACTTTCTACAGTTAGCAAAGTCATCTGTTTTCTCATGTCTATTAAAAATTCCCATTTCTAAACTGGGATAACAAATAAATGCTACAGACACTTCCTAGTGATGCTTATAAATGAAGAAGAGTAAATTCTATGACTGAGGCAATTCATACTGCCCAGATAGGTGACGCAAAGAGGAAAGGTGTGAATAATGGTCTTGAATTAAAAACAAACACGCTGAGAATAAAGCTGTTTTTAAAAGCAAGGATAAGGTAATATGGCCAAATAATAAAGGCTTGTGTCCAAAGCTAACTTACAGGGCAACAAAGAGAGAGAAGAGAAATAGTTCTTTAAATAAGCACCTGTAGATCAATTCTCTTTTCTTAATAAGTATCTACAGACAGTCGTGAGAATGCACTTTGCCACCAGCCATGATACTAGACTATCTGTCACAGAACCAGGAATGTAAAGATGTAAGACTGAAATATATCAAGAGACTGTGAAGCCCATTTTTGACATCTATTCCTCTAAAATTTTAACAATTACTATCTTAAAGGTAAAAATGCTGAGTCTTTGGCTTAAATTCATTTTTAAACATTTTACTAAAAAGTTGGAAATTCATTAGCTGGTTACTCATATTTCTCCTAATGGTGACTTCATTTATACTGAGTCTATTATGTATCCAAAATTTCATATATACCATTTATTATTCTTACAAAACTCTTACAAAGGAGACTAAAGATAAGAAAACAGAATCTTACAAAGGAAGTAGCCATTTGAAAGATAAGGAAACTGAGGCTCAAAGAGGTAAAATAAATGGTCTATATTCAAACAGATAGTGAGAGTCGACATTCCAATCCAGGTTCACAAGGTCTAAGCCCTAAGCACGGTGTCACACTATTACTTTAGAAAGTGGCATGACTGAATAAGAGGGTTTAAAATGAGCAATATAAAAAATAATAACTACAAAGTATAGAGGCTCTCAGCACATAATCCTGTCACTTATTTAAACCTAACATTTAAAAACACAATCATGGGAGCACATTAGTCCCTACTTACTTGGGGGGTTATGTTTTAAGACCTACCCAGTGGATGTGTGAACCTGTGCATAGAACAAATCTCTACATATACTATGTTTTTTTCTTACATATACATACCCATGATAAGGTTTAATATGTAAATTAGACACGGTAAGAGATTAAGAACAGTAGTAAAAAGAGAACAATTACAACAATATGCCAGTATCCCTATTCTTGCACTTTGTGGCCATTTTTTTTTTTTTTTTTTTGAGATGGAGTTTCGTGCTTGTTACCCAGGCTGGAGTGCAATGGCGTGATCTCGGCTCACCTCAACCTCCGCCTCCTGGGTTCAGGCAATTCTCCTGCCTCAGCCTCCCGAGTAGCTGGGACTACAGGCACGCACCACCATGCCCAGCTAATTTTTTGTATTTTTAGTAGAGACGGGGTTTCACCATGTTGACCAGCATGATCTCAATCTCTTGACCTCGTGATCCACCCGCCTCGGCCTCCCAAAGTGCTGGGATTACAGGCGTGAGCCACTTGTGGCCATTTTTAAGTAGAAAAAACAGGGTTACTTGAATACAGAGACCGATACTGTGACAGTCAGTCTGATGAACTAAATGGCCACTGAGTCACTAACGGGCAGGTAGCATATTCAGCCTGGACAGAGAGATGTTTCACATCTCGGGAGAAATGGCATGAGGGTTCTTTACGCCACTCAGAACTGCATGCAGTTTCAACACTGAACTATTTATTTCTGGAATTTTTTTATTTTTTTCAAACTGTGGTGAACCTCAGGTGACTGCGGGTAAGTAAAACTGAGAAAACTGAAACCTTGAGGAAGGGAGGGAGGATTCCTGTATTTTTACATGCAATGCTTTTCCCTACTCTAATGCAAGTGTAATTACAATTCATAAATTTGGGGGCGCTTCATAAACTCAGTTTTTAAAACAGTTTTAGCCGAAAGTGTAACCAAAAACAGATCATTTCTCTCATATCCTGTTTGGTTTGTCCCTTAGCAGGAAACAGTTAGTAACCTTTTATTCTTTCTAACATCCAAGACGGAGTGCATTTGAGAGAAAAATCATGTGGACCAATTCCCAGCTTTGGTTTGTAACTAAACACCACCATTCCCACCTTCAAGATAAACTAATGGTAAGTAGTGTTCCTTTTATTGTCTGTTTTGTTTTGTGTTTAAAACGATTTCTATTTCATAGACAAATAATGATTGTGTGTATTTATGTTGTACAAATGTATTTTATTACATGTATACATTTTGGAATAATCAAATCAAGTAATTAAGATATAACATCAAATATTTATCACTTCTTTGTGGGAAGCTCATATAAATCCTGTTTTAGCTATTTTGAAATACACATTATTCTTAACTCAGGCACCATGCTGTGCTGTAGATACACAGAGCTTATTCCTCCTGTCTCACTGAAACTTTGTACCCTTTGAGTAAGGCCGCCTCTTTCTCCATCTACTTCCTCTTCCACAAATTACTCCCAGCTTCTGGTAACCTTTATCCTATTTTCTACTTCTGAGTTCAACTTTTTTAGATTATACATTACCAGTGATATCATGTAGTGTCTGTCTCATTTCACTTAGCATAATGTCCACTAAGTTCATCCGTGTCATAAAAAACAACAACAGAAAAAACACAAAACCAGTAAGTAGTGTTTCCTAACTGTGTTGCAAAAAGCATAGTTATGCAAGATATAAACTGATGCCTCATGTACAAAATAAGAGTGCCCGGATTAAATAAGGTCACGTCTACAGAAAGGCAACGATCAACAACTTAAAGTACTGGCCACTGATATTGCGCATTCCCTATTCTCCTTCCTAGGGCTGTCACTAACAGCACTTCATATGGGAATGCTAACCAATCCTCAGAATACTCTGTAATATAGTTACCACTATTGTTTTTCTTTTATAAGTAAATTGAGGTTTAGGCTAAGTGATGGGCTAAGACTGCCTGCCAGTAAAGGGTCCAACCGAGATTCAAATATCGGCCAGTCTCCTTTTAATGTACTGTCCTCAAGCACCTGTAAGTAAGACTTAAACTCAGGAGGGTATCTCACTGTATTTGAAGAGGGAGATTGAGTGGTACATTTTTCCAAGTTTAGTTGAACTTGAACCCGATGTATTGTATAACATCTACTAAAATGTCGTAGAGTATTGGGTAAATGCCATTATGGAAGAATATCCACCCATAATTTAAAAACATACAAGGATTCTAAACTTGTGAATCAGTTAATCGGGTTCTCTGATAAAACAGAACTCTGTTTTAGAATTATGTAACAGTTCCTTAAAGCAGATCAGCTTCGGTTATTTGTAATGGTCATTTTAAAAATACATCACACAGCTTCAATGTTCAAATATTTGGATGTCTGTGTTTTGAACTCTGGCCTAAACTAACTCATGTCTTTATTTCTGGTTTCCAGATGGTGTGTGTCACAGTAAATAGGATAAACACAAAAGTAAACAGGAAAGAAGTCATATGACTCATGAAAAGCTCTCCAAAATTTGTTTCCACAGGTACACAACTATTTGGCAGTAAACTCAGGAGGGGAATTTTATCATATTACAATTTCTATTGTTTACAAAATACAGTCTGCAAGGTGAAGCAGCAGGCACAAAAATAGTGCACTTCTACTGATTTTAGGTTGAGAGACTGATTAAATTCTAAGACACTCAAACTTTAATTTATATGAACATTTTTCTAACATAATATCTAGATTGGATTAAATTTTTTTTGCATGGGGGCTGTAAAATTTAAAAAGAAATGTGCTTAATTAATGTTTTAAATAAATTGTGGCTAAAAATTTTAGTTGGCATTCTTTAAAATAGGAATTTAAGGAAGACCTTATGAACCAAAATGATCACAGTTTGTCATAAATGTTTTAACTTTTCATTCCAAACATATGATTATTCTAAAAATTGGAAACTACCAGAGGGAGGTAAACTAGATCTACCTTTGTAAAGACCTTTCCTGAAAAAGCACTAGTCAATTCAGTATAAAATGAAATTATTTTTAGCAATGTTGGCCTGTAAATAATAAAGTTGAATAAATCTGTGAACTGACTGAACTGACTAAATTTTTTACTGAAATCAATACCCCACATACATGTTTTTCCATTAAATACATAAAAATGAATAAAATGTAATTTAAATAAAATGCACACTGAGGAATAAAATTTAAAGTTCTTTCCAAACATCATTAATTTAAAATAATTTTAGTTTAGAACATTTTCAAGAATCTCAAAAAAACTGGTTTATAAAGTGCCACATTTGGGGATGATTGATCGTTTGTAAAATAAGGAAATTATGTTATTTCATGAAAACTGTCTGTAACTCTTCTTTCAAAGGGCATTAAATGAAGAAAGGAGTCAGACAAGGTGATATACAACGATTATTCTCCAAATACGAACACCCTTAAGTCATATTCCTTTTTTGTTTGTTTTTGAGAATGAGTCTCCGTCTGTTGCCCAGGCCGGAGTACAGTGGTATGATCTCAGCTCACTGCAACCACTGTCTCCCAGGTTCAAACATTTCTCCTGCCTCAGCCTCCCAAGTAGCTGGGATTAGAGGCATGTACCACCACACCCAGCTAATTTTTGTATTTTTGTAGAGACAGGTTTCATCATGTTGGCCAGGATGGTCTTGAACTCCTGACCTCAGGTGATCTGCCCACCTTGGCCTCCCAAAGTGCTGGGAGCCACCGTGCTCATATACTTAATTTTGCAGTTGTATCCTCAGTTAATGCTGATGTGGCCTCACTAATTTACTGTTCCGTCAGAATCGGCATTCTATATTTTAGTTTTACTCTACTTTTCCATCATTGTTAACGAAACTAAAGTACTCAAGTCCTTCCATGAATCACAACTTTGAGGAAAGGCCATTAAATGATTTTAATCTTTATGAGGCCAAGGAATGTATCTATCTTACTGACTACTGGATCCCAAGAACCAAGCACATTGTAAGTACTCAATAAATAAATCTAAGTGAGTGAAAGAATGAACAAAAGACAGAAGGAAGATGAAAATGCAAAAGAATTTAAAAGGAAGAGGCATACTTCCTAAAGTTCCCAAATTTAGCTAATAAAAATACAGGATGCCTGGTTACACTTGAATTTCAGATAATCAACAAACAATTATTTAACGTACATCCCAAATGCTGCAAAAATCATATACAATTTATTTATACACATATCTAAAATTCAAATCTAACGGGGTATTCTGTATTTTATCTGGTTACCCCAACACCACTAAATCTACATAAAATATTCCAAATCTACCAGGAAGTTTTTTAAAATGTGAAGTGTAGACCACATGCTGTGAAAATTTCATTGCGTTAACTATAATGACATTCTAATTGAAATTGAAATTCATTCGAATTTAGTGACCTTTGGAAGAAGAGTTATAGACAGTTTTCATAAAATAAGGAAATATAAACTATCAATCATCCCCAAATACGGCATCACATAAAGAGCTGTGCCAGCTGATGCAACACAAGTAATAACGTAAAACAGATGGAATAAAGTATACAGAAAGAAAACTTCCATTTTTACATAAGTGGATGACTAAGAAAACCAAGGGCAGCTATGGGGAATTGTATGTGGCCAAGGGAAAGGCTTAGAAGCAATGTCAAGAAACCCGTGTCCCAATCTCAACTCTGTTGGGAAATTTCAGGCAAAGATAGAATTAACTTCTTTGATCTTCCTTTTCTATAGAGTAAAAGAACTGAAGATTCTCTCGATGTCGACATGCTGTTTGAGTTTGTAGTTTTTTTAAGCTCATTGTCATTCATCTATAAAGCACACATTTCTGGAGGAGACATACTTAATTGGCATTGCGATGGCAATAAGCAGAGTTATGTGATTAAACGAGAAAAATAATGCCACTGAATGTAGAGTTAAGTGTATTCTTATTTTGGATGAATTTAAAAATAGATCCTGACTTGATGACAGAATTTCATTAGAGTTAACAATAGTTAGTATACTATATAACTTAGTGAATCCTATTGGAATTACAGGTATATAATCAGACATACTTCATATCCTAGTTTAATGTCATAAACATAAAAAAAATAACGAGTTTGCACTAATCTTAATTAAACAATAAGGGTCATTTTTGCCTCTGCAATTCCTTTTAAGGGGTCAAACAACAGAAAGAAACAACAATACCAAAACAACAGCAAAATCCAAAACCGTATCCTAAATTTCACAAATATGTTTTAGGTATGATGCTTAAACAAAGGGCAATAGAAATTTTTTTTGGAAATAGCCCATTTGAATTTTTCCTGCATCTAGTCAAAATGTCTTTAGACAGATATGATTGAGGAATAACATTTGGACATTAAGGAAAAGACGATGGTGTAGTGAACTGTAAAAACTTAAGATGACAGAATTATCACCAAAAAATTGTTATGTATTGATTGGTCACCAAAGGAAATTTAACTTTAAATCTGTAACAGGCATGGAACTGAAGCCCAAAGGGAATTATTCGTGAGGATTTGGCTAAGTGACAAATCTGAAAGTGACTAGGTTCTTGCTGGGCAGCTTTAAGAAAGTTACCTAACCTTTCTGAGAACAGGAGAGACAAATCCAATAGCCCAGTGAACAGGGCAGGCTGGCTGACTGACTCAAGCCCTATGTTGCACTAGGGAGTCGGGCTAAGAAATGTGTTTGCCAGATTCCCTTGCAGCTCCAGTTCTCCTGAGACCTGGCCTCTGCCAAAGAGAAACACTTGCATAAAATCTGAAAAAAAAAAAAGGAGACAGAAGCTACATTTCTGCTATTTCTTCTGCCAAGCACAGTTGCCAAGGCATTTATGGGGATGATTCTGAAGTACTTTTTGAGTCATTCCTGAAAGCTCAGCCTAAAGCGTGCTCCCTCAAGGTTTGGAACAATTTTATAAGCACTTAATTCCCTTCTTCAAATCCCTTTCAGAAAATAGGAAATAGTTTCCTGATTTCTCCAAATGAACTGTGACTAGTACAGAGAAAATCTAAAGTCCCCCTCAATATTTTTTTGTTTTTGAGACAGCGTTTCGCTTTGTTGCCCAGGCTGGAGTGCAGTGGCATGATCTCGGCTCCCTGCAACCTCCTCCTCTGGGTTCAAGCAATTCTTATGCTTCAGCCTCCTGAGTAGCTGGGATTACAGGCGTGTGCCACCACACACAGCTAATTATTTTGTTGTTTTTTTTTTTTAGTCGTGACAGGGTTTTACTATGTTGCTCAGGCTGGTCTTGAACTTCTGAGCTCAGGTAATCTGCCTGTTTCATCCTCCCACAGTGCTAGGATTACAGGCGTGAGCCACTGCACCCAGCTCTCCCCCTCAACATTTTAATGAAAACTTTCTATACTGACATGTCTAGACCATTTTCCATCCAATGTAAATTTTTCTTTAAAAAAAAAAAAAATCCAGGTACAGTGGCTTCGGTCTGTAGTCGCAGCACTTTGGGAGGCCAAGATAGGAGGATCACTTGAGCCCAGGAGTTTGAGACCAGCATGGGCAACATAGCAAAACCCTGTCTCTATGAAAAAAAAAATTAGCTGGGTATGGTGGCGTGCACCTGTAGTCCCAGCTACTCAGGAAGCTGAGGCAGGATTGCTGCAGCCCTGGAATTTAAGGCTGCAAAGAGCCATGATTGTGCCACTGGGCGACTGAGTGAGAACCTATCTCAAAAATACAAACGGAGGCCGGGCGCGGTGGCTCAAGCCTGTAATCCCAGCACGTTGGGAGGCCAAGGCAGGCGGATCACAAGGTCAAGAGATCGAGACCATCTGGTCAACATGGTGAAACCCCGTCTCTACTAAAAATACAAAAAAAAATTAGCTGGACATGGTGGCGCGTGCCTGTAATCCCAGCTACTCAGGAGGCTGAGGCAGGAGAATTGCCTGAACCCAGGAGGCGGAGGTTGCAGTGAGCTGAGATCGCGCCATTGCACTCCAGCCTGGGTAACAAGAGCGAAACTCTGTCTCAAAAAAAAAAAACAAACAAACAAACAACAACAAAAATAATAATTAATGCATTAATATTAATTTTAATAACAATTAATAATATTAAATGCAGCTTGTAATAATGGAGAATACACAAGGGTTAATAATAATGAAAACACTTCTCTCCGGAGAAAGAATACATCTCCTGAGTTAGCTCCCGCTGATTGTACTTTGTGCACTGACCTGCGACAGCTGCATCCAGTTCATCATCATCAAAGGAATCCTGTGTGGCAAAGTCACTCAAAGGAGACAGTGGATAAGATGTATTGAGATTCAAGCCCAGCATGAAGTTGTGCACCTTCCCAGCACGTCCTTCTCTGGTATTGAACAAAGCTGAATCGCTCACCAAGGCCATTATCATACGATGAATCCAACTTGCTTGACTATCACTGTGATAGTCCCTTCCAGCATCTTCATTTTCAGTGCCTAGGGAAAAAGAAAGCATCACTACACAGACTCCAAAGTGCACGTTTAAAAAGGGAGCTTCTTTGAATAATGAAATGTTAAAATTCACAACGAAGCTCTATGTTTAACATGTTTCTTTGCCTACATTAATATAATAAATATTGCACTTAATCATTTTCGTTCTTAAGTTGTTCTTAGTTCACCTTTTACCTGCAGTGCTTGTAAAGGGTATATTCCTGACAGTGCCCCCCGGTGTACGCTTAGGTTTCCAAGTAAATTTCTTCCATCTTCCCCTTTACTTCTTTCCTGCATTGTTTTTTTTTTTTTTTCCTTTTCTCTGGCTTCGAGTGCACACACTTGCACGCACACATAACTTACATACACACAACATCCACAGGGGCTAATTCTATCCTCTACATTCTTAAGTTTCCTTAATTAATCTTATCCTGTTTAACAAACATTCAGGAATCGTGCAAAATGAGGAGAGAGAGCTAAAGGATTCAACATATATTTGCTACGAAATAAACACCTTTATGACCTATTGGTCTTCTGACCTGTCATTTCATCCTTGCTTATACAGTTTGGGGATTTAAAAGCCTTTAATTTAAACAAATGCCTACGCATTTTAAAATTCAGTGATCACCCCAAAGAAGCAGTTTTAAATGACTTTTTCCTTAAAACCTATGCATACACCATTACTACTGGGAAATTATTATGTGGCCATTTATAGCATTGGCTCCAGAATCAGACTCCTTGGGTGCCAATCCTCTCTCCACGATTTTCTAGTTACTTGCCCCTTCTCCTCCTTCATTTCCTCATCGATAAACCTCCTCAAGTTGTGAGAATTAACCGTGTGTGTGCATCTATGCAGTGTTCTTAGGAAAGTGCCTGGCTCATATTCAATTCTTAATAAACACTTGCTAGTAGCAGAAACAGTTGTAGCAGCAGCAGGCGAAGCATCATCATCATCAGTCTTATTTATTCATAATTAAAATCGAAGAGCAATTTATGGTAGAATATAACTTCATCTGCCTAAACCCTGTTTGTTCTGATTTCTGGGAACTCTGTACATAAATATTCATGCATTTACAAAACTGTGTGTATGTGTATCTGATTGTATGTGTGTGTTTTGAGACAGAGAAAAAAAAGAGACTCTAGGGTCAACTTCATAATTTTCAAATGTAAACTAAACATACATAAAACCATAATAAATATTGATTTTTATCTTCACAGATATTTGTTTAACTGAGCCGAGCCAATGAAGAGCTCTTTCATTCAGTAACCAATCCAGGTAACTATATTGTCACCAAAAACAAATACGCTATTTTCTGCTCTCACACTTTCATAATGCCAAATAGGACAAAAAATATCTGTTACTAGAACAATTCAAGCTTTAAAGTGAATGATTTATGTCTCCAGTTTCACAGGATATGAATGAGATGCACAATTATTTCCAAAGATTTGGGGCTGCAGCTTCTCACTTTTCTTATTATTCAGTAAACTCCTACTTCCATACCAGCAGAGGACTTATCTTAGGATATCTTTCTTTTTTTAATTGCATTTTAGGTTTTGGGGTACATGTGAAGAACATGCAAGATTGTTGCATAGGTACACACGTGACAGTGTGATTTGCTGCCTTCCTCCCCTTCACCTATATCTAGCATTTCTCCCCATGCTATCTCTCCCCACTCCCCACCTCCCGCTGTCCCTCCCCTATTTCCCCCAACAGACCCTAGTGTGTAGTGCTCCCCTCCCTGTGTCCATGTGATCTCATTGTTCAACACCCACAAAAATTATCTTGGGATATCTCTGATAATGGCATCACTTGTGGGACTAACCCAGCAGTCACCACATAAATGTTCTATTTATATGTTGACTCAAAAAAGAAAAGTTGACTACTTATAGCTTATGAGCCCTACCAGTAATAGTACATTTCTATTTGCACACCCTTTATAACTTAAAGCCCCTTTGTATGCATTTGCTAATTCAATGATTGCGACGATTCTGTGAGAGAAGGCGAATGGTCCCAGGATAGATTTGAGGAAACTAAAGCTGAAAATGCTGAAAACCTTGTTCAAAATCACACGACTAAACATGAAAGAGCCTCAAGAGACTAAAAGGACAAGCCACAGATTGGAAGAAATTATTGGCAACAGACATATTTGATTAAAAACATGTAATACAAAACATACAAAGAACACTTAAAACTCAGTAAAAAAAACAACCCCAATCCAAAACTGAGCCGAAGGCCTGAATTGATACCTCATCAAAGATATACAGATGGCAAATAAGCATATGAGAAAATGCTTCACACTAATGTCATCTGAGAAATGCAAATTCAAACAATAAAAAGAGACTACTACATACCTTTTAGAATGGCTGATATCCAAAGCATAGATAATAATAATACCAAATGTTTACAAGCTGTGGAGCAACAAGAACTCTCCTTCATGGCTGGTGGGGATGGTTTGGCAGTTTCTGACGAAACTAAATATACTCTCACCATATGATCCAGCGATTGTGCTCCATGGCGCTCACCCAAATGAACAGAAAAACCTACGTCTACACAAAAACCTGAACATAGATATTTCTAGCAGTTTTATTCATAACGTCCACAACTTGGAGGAAAGCTCGAGGTTTCAAAGTTCACCTTCTTCAGTAGGTGAATAGTGGTACAACCAGACAAGGGAATATTATTCAGTAATTTAAAAAAAACACACACACATGAGCTATGAAGCCAAGAAAAAACACTGAGGGATTTTAAATGCATACTGCTAAGTGAAAGATCTGGAAAGGCTACCTCATTGTATGATTCTGAGCACATGACATTCTGGCAAAGGCAAAACTATGGAGACAGTAAAACGATGAGTGCTTATTAGGGTTTGGGGAGCGGAGGACAGAGAGGCAGGAGACAGGAGTTTTAGAGCAGTGAACCTATTCTGTATGACATGTCTAATGATGAATACATGTTGCTACATATTTGTCAAAGCCCATAGAATATATACCAATAGTGAGTCCTAAAATAAACTATGGACTTTGAACGATAATAATGTCAATTTAAGTTCATCAGTTGTAACAAACGTACCGCTCTGGTGTGGAGTGTTTATAGTGGAGGAGATGGGGGGGGCAGGGTGGACAGCGGACATGTGGGAACTCTACTTTCTATTCAGTTTGCCTTAAAATGGAGCAGAAACTGCTCTAAGAACTGCTCTAAAAACTCTACGTAAAAGAGAAAAAATATATACTAACAGCCAAAAAGAAAACATTAACCACATACTAAATATTATGCTGTAGGCAAGGCTCGTCCTGAAACCAAAGCAGCCATATTTAACAGTCCTTGAACTTCTCAGCCTTAAGACTCAGCTGGTACTGTAGGGGTTCTCACATGTACTGACCTTCTAGAGAAATACTTAGTAATGGAGAAACCGTTATTCTATCTCCTCAGTGCTTCCTAAATCAACACAAAAATAATTCTAGAGAAGCTAGGCATCTGATATCTGTCCCCTTTACACTGCTAGTTTCCTTCATTAAAAGGAAATTCAAAACAAAAAGGACTTAAACAACTGAAAAATGTAGACATTTTAAAAATGAAGGAGCAAGGATGAAGACTTGCTTCCTTCCAGGGCAGGGTTCTTCTGGGGTTCGTGCATAACAATCAGGGCTGCTGGTCATTATTTGATTAGGCAGATCATGGGCTGCATAACTCAGCAGGACAGTGGGGGCAGATGAGGGCTGAACCCAGCATGTGCTCCTATGGCCAAGCCTTGTGCCCAGATGAAAGCATTGTCTGTGCAGGGAAGGAATCCTCTTTTTTAAGGTTCACAGGACACCACACACTAGCCAAGCCTTGGTCGCCTGCAGCTGCATTCCCCAGAGAAGGCAGCTTTTCTCTAATTTACATAAACACATCTTCTGAGGAAGTAGTAGCCCAGCTATCAAAAGAGAATTTTAATCTTAGTAGTAATTAAGCAAGGTTAAAACAGGCTCTTCCATGCCTAGCGGAATTAATTAAGTTTTAGACCAGGAAGCATTTAATAACTTCTAAAATCTAGACGGTCATATTCAAGCTGTAATAAGACAGATACATCCATTTCTTATAAAGTCTTCCCTTTGTTTTTTTCTGTTTTTGTTTGTTGGTTTTTTGTTTTTTTTTTTTTTACTATTGGGAACACTTTTATAAATGGCTATCTCAAAACACTGGGTCAAAATAATCTATTTTACCATGAAATATTTACAACAAATGCGACCTTCATATTTGTTGCAAATCTGATCCTCACCTTATCTCTGCCCCATGTCCATCACTATCACGATCCACACCAAACTGAAAACAGCCTCGTCAAAATGTAAAAGGACCCATTTATACTATCAAATAATATATGCCACAAGTTCTTGACACTTTGACCCACATCATCACTAATCCCTTCTCAAGAGGTAGAGTGAAGGCAGTGGGGTAAGGCTCAGGAGTGGAGCGAGAATACAATTTTTCACGTTACTTAATAACAAAACTGTAAAAGACCAAAATTTTCATTTTTAAAGTCATCTAACAAAGGTTCCCAAATCACAGTAACTATGCTGAGAAGCCCAGTGCTCTAATCAGACTTAAAAGAGAATTCAGCATTTCCACCATCTCAGATCTGTTCATTTGTTCAACTTATAGTATTTTTGAGGTATTAAAACAAATTGGGGATATATATATATATGAATATACATGTATGTGCTGCTTATTTTATTACACATGTAATATGCAATCCTCTCTCTCAATAGAAAACTACAATGTCAACATTTCCATTTCTGAAGTGGAGATTACCATCAGCATCTTGAATGAGAAAATCAGACTAAGTGTTCATATCCTTTCCTCATGGATCTCGGCCAGAGAAGTTTCCGGCTCACTCACCTTTGGGTTCGTGTGATTCATCATCACTATCCGAGCTATCATTACTCACAATATGCTTTGTTGTAATATTTTCTGTGAAAAGGAGACAAGACAATTGAAGCATCTTAGGTGTCAAAATTCACAAATTTATTATAAAGAAGTAATCCGAGCAAAACCACAGAATGAGACCTACTAGCTCTGCTAGTCTAAATTTAAACCCGTTTAATAAATACAGATGTATTAGATTTAATCTTGTTTTCAGATTTCTCACCAGAAACAAAATTTCCTAGGATATGAAAAATTAGTGTATATTTGTTAATTCATGATTTAAAGAGGATAATTTTTATGTTAATCATGATTCCAACAAAAAGCACAACTTGATTATAGGAAGCTCTTGTTATACCAAAAAATACTTGTTTTTCTTCATTATTTTTAAGTGGTGTTTATGAAGGTAGCGGATAAAACCAGAACCTACAGGGGAGTACAGAACAGTTTTCTTTAAATGAATGAAAGATATTAACATATATTATCTTTTGATTTCCAATAATATTGTAAAATTGTCAGTTGAAATTCACCTTCTGATGTCAAGAATTTGTGCTTTCTGCAGAACATATTAAGAGAACAGTTATAAAAACTAAAATAACAACCAGAAATCCTTAAAACAAAGACAGCAGTAAAATCTAGCATGATGACTAGTTATCTGTTTTCTGTTTTTAAACGGTTATCCAGGCTGGGCTGCAGCAGCATGACCCCTGCTCACTTCAACCTCTGCCTCTGTGCTCAAACAATCCTTCCACCTTAGCCTCCTGAGTAGCTGGGTCTATGGGATGGACCATCATACTTGGCTAATTTTTTTATTTTTATTTTTTGTAGAAATGAGGTCTCACTCTATTGCCTAGGCTGATCTCAAACTCCTCCACCCAGGCAATCTTCCTGCCGTGGCCTCCTAAAGGGCCGGGATCATAGGCATGAGCCACCGTGCCCAGCCTAGTTGTCTGTTTCAAGTAAAATGTCATGAATGATCAAGGCTATGTAATGGAAGGGTTAATAAATGCTTAAGACAGTGGATTGACATTTTTTTTTTTTTTTTACTGGCATGACTATACATTTGATAAAATGTTCACAAGCCAATATTATTAGTTTCATTTCATGACTATTATCAATAGTAATTTTGTTACACGAAGGTATGGGAGATGTTAAGGAATGATCTACTCCAGGTGACATATAATTAGATGTGTTTCTAGACCTACACGTATTTTGTTTTCCTTCCTTTTGCATTTTCTTTCTTCCTTTCTCCCATCCATTTCTTCTTTCCTTCTTTCCTTCCTTCCTTCCTTTCTCTCTCTTTCTTTTCTTTCTGTCACATTTGATAGTTTGATTTAAGAAAACAGTTCACCAAAATAGTGTCTTATTTGTAAGGAAGAACTTCATGATATGAATAGCTAACTATCTTGAATTTACATATTTTTCATCCTAGTATAATGTACAACTCTCTCTCTCAAAAGTGTAAATTTTTCACATTCATTCAAAACTCCTTAGAGAGTAAATAATTTCAGAGTTACCTGACTAGTCCAATTTACCTTAAAGTCTTTCTTCAGAAAGAAGAAAACAGAAAAGCAAAAATCATCTCTGAACACTCCTTTAGGAGGTAGACGTTAGTCAGCCAAAGGATAGAGTAGTCACCAGGAGTCCTCAGAGTCCTCTCAGTCACCTCTCTGGTTTCATTTCTGGAAATCCTTACTTAATCTGAGGTAACATGCTTCCTGCCGACTGGCGGATCACACATACACGATATTCCCCCTCAGTCTGACACACAGTGCGAGTAAATAGGCTGCCAGACTGCCGGCCTCTAAGGAAACTTCTCAACAAAGAACCTTCTCAAAACTACTTCGTATAAACCTCCTCCTTTTCCTTGGCCTTTAGCCACTGTCTCACCCACATTCAGATATGTTATTTCAGTCCTATTCTCTTCCTGCCTTAAGAAGAAAAAAATAACAAACCCTAGGTTATCTGGGTTATTCAACAGAGGAGAACAGGAAGCAAGCCTCAATATGTGATCTTCTTTCTTCTTTTATTTTTTTCTTAAAATCTTCCCATAATTTAGAGAAAGGCTTTGTTATTTCCACAAATAGCTGAGAACAGGACATTCATCTGGGATATAACGTTCATTAAATAAATCAAGGAAGATCATTTTATCGTGATACACTTTGCCTTGCAGTTACTGGTAAGAGAATGTGCCCCACAGTACATGTCACAGCAGACTCATGAGTGCCACCTGCCTTGTCTGCTCATTAACTGGGTGATGAGCAGACAACAGTAAGTAAACAAGCACAAGGTGCCTTATTTGTTTGTTTTTATTTTTATTTTAAAATCTTTGGCTCCAATGAAATTATAAGATCACTTTTCCATTATTCATTAAGAACTAACCAAAAATACAAATGATACTCTTGAAAATATTATAAACTATAGGAGTTTACTGCACTAAATATAAATATCAAATAAATTATCAAATAACTAAAATCAATTCTTGTAGGCACAGTGGCAATACTGCTTATAAGCCACCTTAAGGTTTAAATTAATGTTACACTTGTATTCTCTCTTGCATGTAAACTTAATTAAATCAATTGGCATTGCCTGAGATACCAAGGACGGCTTGTTTAAAATTCCTGCAGTAAGCTTTTTGTATGCAAGCATTCTTCAAGTAAATTAATTATTTAAAAAGTCATCAGTGTTATCCTGTCAACTCCTCTGTTCTCAGATAGATCTGTGCTACTTCCCGAATACAGAAGGGATAGCAGGTAGCGGTGCTGATACTCCGCCAGGGGCTTCCCCTGATCCCTGCTGTTATGGCTCCAAATTCAGATTTAGCATTCCACCATTTCTTTATGCTATCAGTCAAAACAAAAATTAGTCTTGATTAAAATACAGGTGGCAGGGCTTTTGGAAGATACTGAAGGTAATTTTTTTTTGGCTTTTAGCCAAAATTTATTCATTTAAGAAAACATGTTTCTATGGTATTATTCTTATAATGAATGAAAACCACTGGTCCCCAGTTGAGATGGTCTGCTTTCTCAGGTTTTGTAAATGTTTGTAATTTATTGTAGGCTAATGGGTTCGATTTAATGAAAATCATTAGTTTAAGTTTACTAGAGGTAATTTGATTTCTTTTCCTTCTTTTGGATATAGATTAGTATAAGATACTAACAGAATTCCGGTGAGTTAATATTTAAGGGTTAAATAAACTGTGACAAGCATAAACTTAAGTGTTACACTGTATTTAGCTGTTGGTGAAGCTAATCTTTAAAAAGCTATTCTTATTTGATAAAAAGAGGACTTTCTAATAAAATAATATGTTTAGCAGTGTAATGAGAAAAAGGAATAGAGCTGCGTTCTATTAAAAATTACTCTTAAGAATTAGTCATTTTTATGAGTTCTATAACCTCAGTGTCAAAATAATACTTGAGAAGTAACTTACATATTATTTTTAGGAAATATTTAGGTTGAGTCAACCAAATTATTAATAAATTTAGAATTAAAATATTTATGAATATTTAATAATCTATGTATGTTAATAAAATGTATTAATGTAGCAAGATTTTTATCAATGTAAGCACATCTTTAGGATACCTAATTCTTCCTCCATTGTGGAGCCTCTACTCTGCGAACCAGAAACGCCCAAAACTCTGTTGAACAATATGGAAAATGCACTGCCCCAGACACCTAAAATAAAGCAGAAACAAAGAATAACTTAAAATGTACCAGGATTCAAAATGGTCAAACAAATCAGTGATAATATCTTTATTTTGATCACTTACCCATTAAGAAATGCAACGGGTTTTCTTCATACTTCTTAACAACTGTTCCCATAAAAAATTTGCTTCCAAATAAGTCGGGAGCCATAAAAGTACCATATTTAGCCATGCCAATTTCGTATGGACTAAATTCAACCCAATCTGAAAGCATTTAAAAACAAGGCAATCCATTAATAGGAAAATGCTCCAGCATGGTGTACACAGCTAATGATCACTCTAATCATGTTATGCTTATTCTCATTCATTTATTGAAAATGTTGAAAACATTAGCCAAATGCCCATTATGTATATGACATTGTGTAGAAGTTGGGGAAAAATGCTTAGACAGTAAGACAATACAAAAAGATTCCTTCTAATTTGCAGAAATTGGTTACACTTTTCTATTTAAAAACTCAGATGTCTTTTTGAAGTCAGTTTTCATTCTACAAAATAGAAAACTGAAAACTGCTAACTAGATATAAATTTCATGGAGCAGACAGAAGAAATTAAACTCTTCGTTAACATTGCAAGCATCTGTTAAAATGAAATAAAATGTTTCCTAGCATTTACCTTTTCTTCATCTTTAAATTTTGCTTACTAACCATCGATTCTAATTCCACGAGATTGCAATACAAAGTCTTTGGGTTGAATGCCTTAGAAAAACATGGTAATAATGTCAGTGACATAGCCGGACTGTCTGGGATCAAATCCCATTCTGCTGCTTACACACTATGCTTAATGACTTGGGAATATTATCCTTTCTCTGTTTTAAGTCCCTAATCTGTAAAATGTGAATAAAATTAGTAGGTAGTGTGTAGGGTTATTTTGAAGATCCAATGAGTTAAGAAATCCTGGTCAACATGGTGAAACCCCGTCTCTACTAAAAATACAAAAAATTAGCAGGGCATGGTGGCGCGTGCCTGTAATCCCAGCTACTCAGGAGGCTGAGGCAGGAGAATTGCCTGAACCCAGGAGGCGGAGGTTGCGGTGAGCCGAGATCGCGCCATTGAATTCCAGCCTGGGTAACAAGAGCGAAACTCCTTCTCAAAAAAAAAAAAAAGAAAAGAAATATAAGCAGCTTAGAAGAGGGCATAGCACATTTTAATTTCTCAATAAATAGTAGCCACTTTATGTTTCATGTGTCCCCATGAAACATATGTCTATAACTATGTCTAATTATCACTGCATCTTACTGTCTTCAGCAAGAACTCCTGGTTTCTGATTCCCATTTTCTACACTGGCCACTCCTTCATTCTTCTTCTTGTTGGTAAAGGATGCTATTATTCATGCCACTACTCTCTTTAAGATGACCCTTGATGGTTCTCTTTCCTTTTAGCTTACAACTAAAAGATCAGTGCTGTAGGCTCCATCACCAGGTAAGTTTAGCACCTGGTCACCTATCCATTTGCCCACCATGACCATACTGATACAAAGTGCTTTATTCTCTCTCTTGAACCTTCACGATAGCCTCCTAAAATGCTTCTATACTCTGTTCACCTATTACCTTTTTGATATCCCATACCCAGAAGAAATCTTTAAAAATATAAATCACAGCACACCAGTGTCATCTGAAAGCTTCCCATTACATTGAAAACAAAAACAGCCTACAACGTTCCATCCTGGCCTAGCTCCCACTCGCTGTGAGATTGGCCACATCTCCTAACAGTGTTCTGTCCCATTTTGTCTTGCGTATCCCACTTCAGCTGCAGTCTTTTCGCTGTTCATCAGAGACGTCAAGCTCATTCCCACTTTGTATACACTTGCTATTTTCTTCTGCTGTTACAAGGCTTGCTCCTACTGAATCTTTAGTTTAGGGTCTTTGCTGATGGTCGGTTATAAAATCCCAACATCGTCCACCCCTGCCCAACTCATAATTCTCTGTCCCATTTCATTTGTTTTTCTAGTTTTTCCCTTTCTGAAATTTTATGTTGGGAATCTCTTATCCAACAATACAAAATCCAAACAATTCCAAAATTCATAAGTTTTTTCGTTACTCATTTGGTGGTAAAACCTGATCTGAAACCATTTGGTGGTAAAACCTGATCTGAAACCATTTGGTGAGAAATCAGTCTTAAATGTCGGTGGGTACTCTTATAATTCATTTATCCCACTCGATATGAATATTTAGGTAGCCTATTGAAGAAATATCACTGTTTGATTATAAAAACCCACTGGGGTATTAAGTAATACACAATATGAGTACCTTTATACCTTTAAAATCCGAATATTTTGAATTCTGAAACACATGTCACCAAAGGTTTCAAAAAGGAATTGTGGATCTATATTTATTGTTTGTTCAATGGTAGATCACAACATTCTCCTTTCACAAAGGAAGGAATGAAAACACAATTTTGATAACATTATAATTCATTGTATGTCAAAGGCAAATGGTACCTATACTCTTCATCAGAAAGTGGTGCGATTTACAATGATTTACATGGAGTACTTGAGACATGACTAGCAATGAATCAGAGTCTGTTAGGAAAATTCCTGTATTCATACAAGTTATTGCCCTATCTCTCAATTTCACACCCTATCATGGGAACTGAAGCGTAACAACTTCCTGGTTGCAACTTTTCTAGCGAGTTCTTCTTTATTAGTGCTGTGGCCTGGGAACACAGTAACTACGGGCCTTCTCAAAAGCTAAGATGAGCCCTGCGCTCTTCATTGAAGAACTCACGGTATTAGTCTTCAACTACTTCTCTCCTGCTGGTGACTCTACCTGTTGACCCCAACCTCTCTCCTGACCTCCAGATACTGCCAACTTCCTCTGGGACCCTTACACTCAGATACTCTGTCATCTTCTCCCACTAGACTTCCCTAGATAAGAACTCCTCACTCTTCTTCCGGGCCAGCTTAGCTATTTCAGTAAACCGTGCCATCACTGTCAAATCCATCATTGCACCACACCGATGACTCTAAGGCCTCTCATATCCGTCTACTCTTTTCATTCTTTATAAGCAGGTCCCTAGTTCCAGGCCTTTATTTATCACTTCATTCCTTTCCCTTCTGTCTTTAACTGGACACGAAAGTACTTTTTTCAAAAACACAATGTAAATAATTTTATTGCCCTGCACAAAATCATTATTTCCTATTATCATCAAAAGTAAATAAAAATATTTCTGTCTAGAATTAAAATCATTCCATAACTTGGGACTAATGGTGTCTCCAAATGTAACATCTTTCTTCACCACTGTGTGCATAAGTCCTAGGGTAGTTTTTTTTTTTTCAGTGATGCCCAGAACATACCTCTGCTTCCCTTATGAGTGTTTTCTCATCTTGTTTCCACACAAAGATGTCTTTTTACCTGTACTTGATAGATCCTTCTACGTTCAACTTAAATCCAAGCTTCATCACCCTCACGAAGTCCTTCTTATGACTATACTAAATCTCTATGAGAGCTCACCCTTCTGTCAGGTCCACATACTTCTGTCATGTATAGGCATATTATAGGAATTTTTCCATGCTTTATTTTCGTCTCTTTAATAGGATTATAACTTTCCTGAAGAAAAGTACTATCTTTGTACTCCTATAGTGCCTTGACAAAAAATGTACCATGATGCTGAGTTCATAACCAGAAGGTGTCATCCCTAAATGCAGTTCATTCACCAGTGGAAAATTTTAAATGAACGTTTTAACTCCTCTCAGCAAGGTGATGTAGTGGAGGAGTCAAGAATTTCTAACAGTTTAAACACGAATGTTTATTTGTTGAAAATTTCCAAGGAATTTCTAAATGAAACATGTTTAAAATTATTCCAAGAGGGATGGAAAATGTTATCTGGTATTGTTAAAGTAAAATTATTAATAAAGCTTCTGTAACCTAATTTGGTTATTTGGCTTTTTAAAATATAATTCAGAGACTCTCTCAACTTTTCCCTCTACAGAGCCACCTTCATTCTAAGCATATATTAGAAGAATAAATGACAGACATGTCTCTAGTCTTTTTTCTCAGTAACTCATGTAAAGCTACTTGAACCTCAAGACATGTACCGTAAGATGCCTTATCTGGGTACAAGATTCATATAATTAATGTTTAATGATTTTGTCTAAATCTGCTGGAAGGCACAGCTCAAACCTCCTCATCACAGAAGCTTAACAATGAAGGTGTACCCCTCATCTCAGTAGCAGTACTGCAATTAGGCAGATGTCGGAATCAAACACATGCAGGTTCAAAGACTACTAACTGAATGTAAGACAGCCTTTCCTCAGTCTAGAAGAACCCAAAATACCCACTCACCCAAATATTATTTATTAATTATTTTAGTTAGGTTTTCTTTGAAAATGGCTATTGACTAAAAATTCAGAATAAAATATAACCACTGTGAAAAGTCCAGAACAATCAAGATAATAAAAATAAACCTATTATATCTTTATGCCTTTTTATAGTTTTCAGTCTTATCTTAAGCACATTTCATATTATTGTATTAATATCTCTGTAAGATAAATCCTAAGGTTAATATCCTTTTTAAATAATGAAGAAAATAACGAATCAGAGATTACATGACTAGCCTGAGGTATTCAGCTTAGAATTATTGTGAGACAAGGCTTCTAAATTACAACCTAGTGCTCTTTTGGCCATATCATTATTCTTCCTGGGTGAAGGATGATTTATTTGGCCATGCAAAAATCTGACTAGCATGCAAGTGTTATAGACCAACGAATTCCAAAAATTTCAAAACTTTACAAGATAATAGCTATGGGGGGCAGGAAAGCAATTTCATTATGGCGCTTACTTTGCTTATGTCATAAAGTCTCAACTCTCTACTATGAACTCCATTAGGGCCCAAGGTGTGTGTTTCCTTGTTGCTGCCGACCATACCGGATTTATCCCAGTCCCTGCTGCACATCCCCCTCCATAATCCAATAATTAAATTTGCCTTTCATATTCAAATCCTATTCATTTTTAAGATCTAGAGCTCTGACTTTTCTTATACAGCTTTCACAGAACATTCTAATTTGTTAAAATTTCCTGGAAACGTATTATTGGGGCCTGCCATTGTTTTACAAACTTTATCTCACTTCCTTGCAAAATATAGTGAGCCGTTGCATCTTCATTTAACAGGTGAGAAAACTGGGTCTAACAGAGGTCCTATCGCTTGGTCAAAGTGACAATGTATAGGAACAGTTCTGTACTCTCTTGTGCCTTAACTTCTTTAATAAGTACTGTAAATTTTCCAAACATTATAAGGTCTTATAGGGTGGGGGTGATATATTGTGGTGAGGAAAGGAGTTCATCCTTAGTGCCTGCAGAATATAACCTACATAATCAAGTATCACTGTATACACATCAGAAGTCAATATAGTAAAATAAAAAGAAAAAAGGATTTTTGAAACCAATTCTCAGCACTTCTAATTACTTTCGAAGTGGTAATGTGCAAACTATTTAATCTATATGAGGTTCTGGTTTTTCTTCTGTGGAACAGAGCTAAAAATACCTACTCCAGGGTTGTAGTAAACATGGAATAAAATAATAAATGTGCTAAGTGCCTTATGAACCGTAAGTATGACAAACATTTTAGCCAATATTTTCACAAACACTTGAATGGATGGATCCCATATGTGTTAATTTTTGTAAACTCTTCAAAATTCTTGTCTGAGAGGCAGTGGAGAGAATAGTGAAAATTACAAAAGGATCCTGGATATATATCTGCTAATAACACACCATTCACGATGATTTGTTAAGCTCATGGTGTGTCTGAAGTCCCTGAGATACTTTTCCTAAAAACAGAATGAAACCCACCAGCCATGGTAGCCATTGTGCTGCAGACTGATCCTGACAGAGCCCGGCAAAAGTATGATGTTGTGTACTTTGAAAACATTCCACAAAATGTAACGTGGTTGACATGTACTGTGCAGTTAACCCTACTAAACATATACAGACTGTTTTCCTTGTAATTATTCCCTAAAGAATATAACTATTGACCTAGCATTTACACTGTAGCAGGTATTGTGAGTAACCTGGAGATGACTTAAAGTACACAGAAGGAAATGTAGAGGTTACCTGCAAATACTGTGCCATTTTCTATAAGGGGCCTGAGCATCCACTGAATTTGATATCCACAGGGAGTCCTAGAGCCAAACCCCCGTGAGTACCCAGGGACAACTCTAGATCATATTACCCAATTAATGAAAAGATAACCAACAAGTAAAAGAACTTGCATTGCCTCAAAGCACTAGGCACGTTATTTTGTCAAAAGTTGTTGAGAAACAGATAACTAAAATTGAGGTATTGATTGTATTCCTGATTATTTTACTATATTAAATGAAAATATATTAGTTACTAGTGTCATGGAATATTCTCTACAACCAGCAAATTGTCTCGCTTGATACTGTCTTATATTTTCAAAGTCTTATGTCACAGAAAATACATTAAAATGAACAACTGAAATTGCTTATGACTTTCTTCTAAAGAAAATCATGGGACCCTGCAAGTCAGAGGTTCCAGGAGGTGTTGTGAGAAAGGAAACGGCATACCTGCAAACATCAGCTCTGAAACGTCGGGTTTGACATGAAGACACGTGAAAAGAGGTAAAGGGCACTGTGCAGCACTGACTTTTTCCTTCAAACTACTCAGGGTAGTATTCATCCTCTGTCCACAGAAGAAAGAAAAAGCTGACTTTAAATTTATAAGCAGATACCTGTTTATAAATAGAATGCTATTTAAAATAGCACTTCCAATCAAAATCTCATAATTTTACAATAAAAATAAGTCTTATTACTTCTAGAAATTACTAGGTCCTGAATGAACAACAAAAAGTAAGCCCTATGGAAGTAACTGTCTTCATTTTGAAAATAATCTTAACTCTAGAGACTGTGTCTACATCTGAACTGGAGAATGAATTAGCAACTATGGAGCCCAGAAGAAACTTGGCCCCTGGACTCCCTGTCTCAGGCTCTCCTCTGCTCCATCTGTAACAAAACATCTCACTGCAATCACATATCAAGTGGGTCTCTTCTATATGATCTCCCTCCTTTCTTGACTGTTCAGGCTAAGTTCATTCTTCCTCATCTAAAAATGTTATCCTTCTTGGAGGGAACGGGCAGTTAAGGGTTCAAATGTGAATCCCGCCCCCCCCAGAAAATGAATATTTCCTCAAAATGAAAAGCACTTCCTCACACATTCAAATCCTTTACATCATTTGAATGAATTAGTAAGCACTAGTTTGAAAGGTAGAAGAGTTACGATATCTGGTGGGGAGAATGGGTGCAGTACACAGAGTTGGAAGAATAAGTAGAGTCCAGTGATTTTTATAAAATGTATTGCATTTTCTTTTATCATATGCTTCGTCTACTTGTTTTAAAAGTAATGTAGAGTGAACTGTAACTTACATTATGAATTAGTGTTTCTCCTATTAGCATCCCAAAGATATCAGTAAAGGTGACAGGCTGTCCAGAGCTTTTCTTCTTCCATAAAGACTCAACGTATCTTTTAACTTTCTGTGGTGTGAGAAGTAAAAGGGGGTTGTGGCTAACATTTTTCATTAGTTCTTCATTAATCTCCTCTGGCCCTTTCTCTGGAAAATCGGGGTGAGAATACAAGGTTGACATGTACCTACACAGAAAACAAAGCACAATCAGTAAAGATAAAGGGCATTACACAGCCGTCTCCAAAGAAACCAGGTACTCTGTAAATGAAGAATGGTGGTTAACATTGGTTCACTTCATTATCTGATGGCAGATATTAACAAATGTAAGAAAAGAACGTGTCAATCAGAAAGGAGTTGGTCTACCATGAAGGCAAAGTCAGAAAGAGGTATCAGAGGAAACACTGAACTTCCCTGCACAGTCCAAGAGAGAGGGTGCCTGACTAGGCCCACTGTCCACTATTTAGTGTGCCAGGAATGAGGATCTCCATCAGACTATTTGAGATTGATGACAGAGCACATCTGAGTCATGTAAATGAACTGACTTGTCTGGCTCCAAGACTAGTCAAGCAATCTGATCATCTAAGTTTCCATGATGCTTATCTTCAGGTAGAAAATGTGCTGTCCCGACTATGGTGAATTCCTAATTCCCTTGACAAATGCTTTTTTCCCCCTTAATTATTCATTGGCCAGTTAGACAAAATCTCGAACCTTGTTAACTGCAGCTCTGAAGGCAAAATCCTAAAGAGCAACAAGGTCATTAGAGTAAATGCTTTCTTCTTTTTTTTTTTTTTTGAGACGGAGTTTCCCTCGTTACCCAGGCTGGAGTGCAATGGCGCGATCTCGGCTCACCGCAACCTCCGCCTCCTGGGTTCAGGCAATTCTCCTGCCTCAGCCTCCTGAGTAGCTGGAATTACAGGCGTGCGCCACCGTGCCCAGCTAATTTTTGTATATTTAGTACAGATGGGGTTTCACCATGTTGACCAGGATGGTCTCGATCTCTTGACCTCGTGATCCACCCGCCTCGGCCTCCCAAAATGCTGGGATTACAGGCTTGAGCCACCGCGCCCGGCCAGTAAATGCTTTCTTATGAAGCCTCTTGGCTGCCAGCCATTTGGCCACTTCTGGTACAACTGGAAATCACCATGAGCCTTGATATTTGACATCTAGACAATAAATATTCGGTTATTGTGCTCCTTCCTGTGAACCAATACCTCTAGTATGGTAGATCTCATGCTGAATATTAATTACTTGTTGACTTATCTTTTTCCCTCAATAAATTGTGTCCCCTTTCTTCAGGAAATAAACTTGGTTTATTCATCTGTTTTAGCCTCAGTGACTAGTTAATGTCCAGCATATGACAAGCACAGCTTAGAAAACTCACAGAACAAACAGAATATGTAAACACTTCACCACTTCATCCAACCAAGGAGAAAATAGCACATGTTTTGATCTCTGACTTCCCTGGGATTCAAATCAAAATGTCTATTATAATGGTTATTGTCCCTTCAAGGGGAGAAAACTAATTCTTGTTGGGCCCCTACTATATTCTGGACATTGTGTTAGTTAATTGTTCACAAGTGGTTGATTTGAAGACTCACAGTGGTTTTCAGTTTTTAATTATCAGGAAAAAGAGCATTGGTGAATTTAAATAACATGCTCATATTCCCCAATATATAGCAACAGAACTGGAATTCAAAATTTGTCCTCTCCCCAATAGGCTTTTTTTTTAGTCTATTATACAAGACTTCAGTTTTTAGAGACCAAACTATTCCCATTAAAATAAATTATAATTCCTTATTGGGTTCAGAGTTACTTGGAGACAAGCTGAGAATAATGATCAGTTAATAAATGGAGAGTAGCAGACCCACAATGGAACACATGCACAGGAAAAAACTTTAATATACTTTTATGCCACAAATTGAATTAGAAACAATTCTCTCAATATGTGGTAATGATAAACCAAATGGACTTGCCCAACTCAACCTAGTATAATCACCAAATATCTATAAAAATACAGCTTTGAATCCTTGAAAGATACACAGTTCATTTATTCCTATAGTTATTCCAAAGTCTACCATGTGATCCATCCAAATCAATAAAGATCTGATATTCTGGACCTTGTCATACTTTTAACAAATGCACAATGTACTCTCTGAAGGCTGAAGTAAACTGGTGTTCTCTCTCTCTCTCTCTCTCTCTCTCTCTCTCTCTCTCTCTCTCTCTCTCTCTCTCTCTCTCTCTCTCTCTCTCTCTCTCTCCCCCCCCCTCCCCTCCCCCCCTCCCCACCTCATAAGCAGTTGGCTTGGAAATACAAGCCCTGGTGAGAGACAGAAAATCGTAGAATACTTCAACCATTGACATTGGGTTAATGGTCTCTGCTTGTTCAGCATTTATGACATATATTCCTCAGAATTCACTAAATGAGTTCGATAGTCTTTTCATGGTGTCCGTGCAGTTACATCTGAGTGAGACTGTCTCAAAAAATAAAAAATCAAATATACGAATATCATCCGAATTTGTAACTTTATAGTTAAGCCTTTATTTTCATCTCTTTACCAGTAATGTTTCCCAATTATACCAATCAAGTTTCAAAAAGAGAGTACTTTAGACATAGGAGGGCCTCTATAAATTAGTTAATGAATGAAAGGGTCTTAGGTTTATTTGTCGCTAAATCTGTAAACATTTGCCTCTACTTTTTCAACGTATTTATAAGAGACGACACCTCTTTTTTTTTTATCTAAATGCATTTCAGGTCGTGTGACATTTTAGATGTAAATCAGCCAGAGAAGAAGAAATGTTCAGTTCAATGCCCATCTCCAAATCAAATGGTCAATGTTCTAAAACATCAGTAGCTAACCACCAGGACTTGCTGAATCCAAACCTTCTGGGGTAAACATTTAGAATTTTGGGGCTTAAAGAAGTGCAGAAGTGATTTTCATCTGCAACCAAGATCTGGAATCTCAAATCTTCTTGAGAAGACCCTCAACACCTGTTAAGCAAATATCTTAAAATCCTTTAAAAACTCCTAAACTAATTTTCCCATAAAATGCAGCTGCTTACACATTTCTTCATTTAGTGATTAAGCAACTGTGTCCTAAAGAAAGTCAGGCACTGCGCTAGGTAAGAGAGGTTCATTAGGGGACAAGACCATCTTAGCCCTTAAACAACAAATTTTCTCTAACAAATATTGACCTTTGAGTCGGTTACACCTTATGTGACCCCTTCTGTTAATGCTATTTCTTTTTTCACCGTTGCAGCAATTTTCTGTACTACTAAGCTGAATGTGCTCACTCTCAAATTCTATTTTAGTTAGTTCAGTGAATTGGGCCATTCTCACGTCTTTTTAGATGGCAACGCTGTACAAACATGGCACTCAACATCCGGTAGCCCCTGGAAGAACAGTTGAGGAAGAAAGCTGTGCTCATCCTGAGCGAAAGAACACAGGATTACTGTGCTGACTTTTTAATGCACTCATTTCAGGTCTCCGGGTTAGCTAACACTTACAGCTAAAGAATCACAAGTATCATCCAAAATTAATCTCAGAAGTAATTACCATAAAGGTAGTAGCAGCTATAAGGGAAGCTTTGTCCTACCTAAAACTCTCTTTTATGATCACAGAAAACTTTCTGGGAGGTCCAGGGCTTCTCCAGGTATTTCCGTATTACCTCACTTACGCCAGCTAACGGCCATGTGTCAGCAGAATATAAAAGGTTACACAACACAGAAGCGTAATTTGTTTTTCCAAGCCTTTCCGAATTCCTTCCTTTGAACTTTTTACCGTCTTACTTATACTTTTTAAGAGAGAACTGTGACCATGAATCATCCTGACCACCTTTTCTTGTGCCTCAGGGAGCGTCTCTTCTTTCCTTGGCTAACACCTCCACCTGCGCTTTCCATCTGTGTCCTGTCTCTGCTGGTCTTTTTCTATCCATGATCTTTCCATTTCTTTATCTTCCATCTATCCCTCGACAGTATTTCCTATACCTCAGACATCTACGCAAATGCTCAACTTTCTTAAATTCAGAAAAAATAAATAAAAACCCTTCCCCAGGCCCTATGTTCCCCTCAAACAATGACTCCGTCCTTCTCTTCTAAACAGAGTACTTGAAATAATAGATGGCTCTTACGAGGTCATGTTCCTACTCTTTGTACTTTAACGTTTTATTGGGCCCTTATGTTTTGCAGTTTCATGTTCAAAATTATCTTTTAATTACTCTAACCGGTGGTTCCTGCTAAAACCACTAACCAAACTCAGTCCTTTGCTAAGCTTTTCACAGATTTTCAACATTGTGAAACATCCCTCCCTCCTTGAAAAATCCTTCCCTCTAGATCTCATTTTTCACTTGATTCTCCTCTATGACAGCTTATTTGCAGCCTCCATTAGGGTTTTCTTTTTATCTATTAAGTTTCAGAGTGTTATAGGATTCCATGAATTAAATTCTTGATGATAAAAGCTAAAATGGCAGAAGTTGGTGGAATTACCTGTGGAGGACATATTGATATAACAGACCAAAAGAGAAGCCCTGAGGGAAAGCCCACATTAAGGAGAAAAACTGTGGAAGTGGGAGGGACAATGTATGCAGGAGAGGCCAGAGAGGATGAAATAAAATCAAAGAGTCCTGATGGGAACAGTCAGAAAGAAGCTCAAAGCAATGTGCAAAACGTCTCAGGCTCCAGTCTCTCCCTCCTCCATGCCACGCACCCAAAGGACTCAAAGAAAACAAGAACTTCGCAAATTAAGTGGCCTGTGAATGAAACTCGGTTACCAGGAGTGAGCAGCCTGTTAAGGAAGCGAAATGAAAAGGGAAAAGCTGATCCTTAAGGAAATAAGACTGTGAAAGAGGGAGTAGAAATATATATATATATATATATAAAATATAAGTATATATATAGTATATATAGAGAGAATATATATACTTCTCTCTATATGTATCTATATAGTTCTATATATAGAATATATATAGATATACATATATACTTCTTTATCTTTCACAGTGTATATATATATATACTTTATCTTTCACAATATATATAAGTATACATATAGTATATATAGAGAGAATATATATACTTCTCTATATGTATCTATATATATAGTTCTACATATAGAATATATATAGATATACATATATACTTCATCTTTCACAGTATATATATATATATATACATACACTATCTTTCACAATATATATATAAGTATACATATAGTATAGAGAGAATATATATACTTCTCTATATGTATCTATATATAGTTCTACATATAGAATATATATAGATATACATATATACTTCATCTTTCACAGTATATATATATATATATACATACACTATCTTTCACAATATATATATAAGTATACATATAGTATAGAGAGAATATATATACTTCTCTATATGTATCTATATATATAGTTCTACATATAGAATATAGATATACATATATACTTCATCTTTCACAGTATATATATATATATACATACACTATCTTTCACAATATATATATAAGTATACATATAGTATAGAGAGAATATATATACTTCTCTATATGTATCTATATATATAGTTCTACATATAGAATATATATAGATATACATATATACTTCATCTTTCACAGTATATATATATATATACATACACTATCTTTCACAATATATATATAAGTATACATATAGTATAGAGAGAATATATATACTTCTCTATATGTATCTATATATATAGTTCTACATATAGAATATATATAGATATACATATATACTTCATCTTTCACAGTATATATATATATATATACATACACTCTCTTTCACAATATATATATAAGTATACATATAGTATATATAGAGAGAATATATATACTTCTCTCTATATGTATCTATATAGTTCTATATATAGTATATAGATATACATATATACTTTATCTTTCAGTGTGTATATATATACACTTTATCTTTCACAATATATATATTATATAAGTGTGTATATATATAGTATATAGCGAGAATATATATACTTCTCTCTATATGTATATATATAGTTCTATGATAGAATATATATAGATATACATATATAAAACTATATATGTATATCTATATATATTGTTCTATATATAGAATATATATAGATAGACATATATGCTTCTTTATCTTTCACAGTATATATATATCTCATATATATAAATGTGTGTGTGCACATTTAAAAATCCTTTAATTACATTTCACAGGACATGTTTACTGACAGGAGAATATAAGAAGATATTGCACCAAATCTATAACCAGAGCAATAACTGCAGTTCACATATAGCTCACGCATACAAAATTATATCCCCAAATCAGCACTCAAGGTCTAGTCTTGCTTTATTAGATGAGTTTAAGAAAGTGAGCTTCTTACATTTGTCAGTGATGGACAACACGGAGCGAATAAATAATGAGTATAAAGAAAGAAAACCACTTGAAGATTAATAACAAAATGATTGAGTAGGCGAACTAATGGAAGGGTCCAAGATTTTCTAACACATTACTCACTAAACAGGCAGATGCCTGCTCTTACCTTCAAGGGAAAGAATGATGATGGGCTACTCCCTTCTTTCAGAAGAAATAAATCATTTTGAGGGTACATATAGAGAAGACAGCAATGCTGACTCTAGGTTTTCGTCTCATAACTAGTCTGATTCTAAACATTTAAAAAAACTGTAGATTATTTAAATGTGATATTCTCTATGAAATATATACGTACAAGAAAAAAGTTTGGTTTAGTAGAAAGAACTCAGAATGACAGATCAAAAGCCTGGGTTTATATGCTAGCTCTACTAGAGATGTTAGACAAGTCATTTGGCTTCTATGTCAAATTTTCTTTAGCATGAAAATGAAGAAACTCCTATCTGTCTCACAAGATAAAATGACACAGAATCTTTAAAATGCTAGACATATATGATAATCTGATAGATGAATTTTGCCATGGCCGAATGAATAAAAAGGCCTTGTAAGTCCAAGACAGATCTTCATTAATAAGGTGATACTCTTATTTGAGACATGTGAGCAAGGATTCCATTTGATTTTCAGTGTGCTTACGTGAGGCAAGCAAACCAAAAGTATGTAGTGTCATTTCTGAAGATGTTTTATAAATATATTTGCAAAAATCTAGAAGGTACAAGTATTATACATATGATGTTTTAAGTCTCCACCTAAATACATTTAAAGGACTAACGTCATATTTATGTAGATGAAAACCAATGAAATATACAGGATTTCCATATTCAAAATGGTTTTGTTTGTTCTGTGTACTATGGTATCTTGCATCTTATTCTATTTGCCCTAAAGAAGAAAATGAATATGGAGTGAATCATGTAGTTAGACATGTTCACTGAAGGACTACAAATCAGCAAATTATAAGAAGATTAACTTAATTATGGGTAGAGTATGTTGTTCCACTTCTATATTTATCTAGAATTATTTTCAATTTGTCTTTTTTATGTTTTAACTACATTTTAAGCTACAAAGTGGCTTCAAAAGAGTAAATTTGCAACAAAATTTACTATTAGGTATGAATTTGTCTTTAAAAACTCTTTTAAAGCATATTGTGGCATCAAACTGGAAAGTTTCAGTAATTTAAAGTTAATGTTCAATTTTCTCAACCCTCTTTTCTAGTGCTTGAGTTAGTTAAATCCTAAATATTTAAAATTATAGAACTAAAATTAAAAATGCATACTGACCATGTGGAGCCGGACAGACCAGCAACGTAGGTAGCACAATCCAGAATTCCTGATTCGTACAATGCCTTCATCACACCAGAGAATCCCACCATGGCTCGGAAACCCCCACCTGAACCCAATATGGCTACCACAGGCACCTGAAATGATGTGACACAGATTTGTACACAAAGTAAAAATCATAAAATACGGTTCCCTTTAATCTCAATTTTTACATTATATATCCCATATTTTGTCATAAAGAAATGCAAGTTAACTTCATACTTTAGTAATGGCCTAATTTTTTAAAGGAAGAAAATAAGGCCGGGTGTGGTGGCTCATGCCTGTAATACAAGCACTTTGGAAGGCCAAGGTGGGTGGATCACCTGTGGTCAGGAGTTTAAGACCAGCCTGACCAATATGGTGAAACCCTGTCTTTACTAAAAATACAAAAAAAAAAAAAATTAGCTGGGCATGCTAGAAGGTGCCTATAATCTGAGCTACTTGGGAGGATGAAGCAGAATTGCTGGAACCCAGGAGGCAGAGGTTTCAGTGAGCCGAGGTCGTGCCATTGCACTCCAGCCTGGGCAACAGAGCAAGACTCTGTCTCAAAAAGAAAAGAATGTTCCATATAAGAAAATTAAAAAGCAATGTCTATTGGAAAACAGATATTATGAAAATGACCAACTTACTCTATTTAATAATAACAACAATAGTCTATATTTGTTCAACCTTTTGCAAATTTTTGGCTTGCTTTCAGGAATATTGTTTTATTTAACCCCCAGAAATCATGTAAGGTGAGCAGAAGGGAAGTATTTGTTGGTTTTGCAAATGAAAGTTCTGTAATGATGCCTGATGTTACTTGTGTAAGATCTACTAGCAGTTGATAAGCACCTTGCCTTCAAGTTACATTTACAGAGAGAATCTCTAACATCTGGTGACCGAAAGGTGGGTGGTCACACTTAGGGCTTCTAGCTTTGCTCTTAAGCAGATGATGCTATCATTACGCAGAACAAGGTTCCCAGAGCAAGAAGTTAGGCAAAGGAAGAAACAGTGTGCTCGCTCTTAGAAATGCTGAGTATCTTTGGGAGGCCGAGGCAGGTGGATCGCAAGGTCAAGAGATCGAGACCATCCTGGTCAACATGGTGAAACCCCGTCTCTACTAAAGACAGAAAAAATTAGCTGGGCATGGTGGTGCGTGCCTGTAGTCCCAGCTACTCAGGAGGCTGAGGCAGGAGAATTGCCTGAACCCAGGAGGCGGAGGTTGCAGTGAGCCGAGATTGCACCATTGCACTCCAGCCTGGGTAACAAGAGCGAAACTCCATCTCAAAAAAAAAAAAAAAGAAAGAAAAGAAAAGAAATGCTGAATATACAACATGAATATATTATGTTTCAAGTATTGGAACCTGAACCCTGAGTGGCCACTTACCAATATGATGTATACATATATTCGTGGGGTGATTATTTTACAACCAGAAGGACCAAACAGATTGTAGTCGTAAGATATAGTAGTTGTAAGGAAGCCAGATATGAATTTAGACAAAGAGGAAGGATTTGAATTAAGCCTTGAAAGGGGGTTGAGTATATAGGCAATATAATAATAATAATAATAGCAAATATTTATGCTTTAAATTGAGAAAGAGAAATCTGCAGAGGCTGGATCTTATTAGAGTTAGAGCAGTGGATAGCAGAACACCTACGACTAAATTCCTCACCTAAATCTGTTCTCTAACAACTGGTCTCAAATCAAAAAACATTAGGCATCAAGCTACATGCAAACTGGAAACCTCATAATGAGGTTGTGCAGTGCAATGGAAGGATCTAAATAGCTTTGAACCTGTGTGTGTGTGTGTGTGTGTGTGCGTGTGTGTGTGCGTGTGTGTGCACGCGCGTGTGCGCGTGTCTGCGTGTGTCTGCATGTGTGTGCGTGCGCGTGTGTGCGTGCGCGTGTGTGCGCGCGCGTGTGTGCGTGCGTGTGTGCGCGCGCGTGTGTGTGTGTGTGCGTGTGTGTGTGTGCGTGTGTGTATCTTTATTTTGATGTATATAGGTTCGCATAAACACCATGCTCTCAAACAGATTTTAAAATTGTAAATAAAGTAAAATATGTAAGTCCTTAAAAGCTTGTCTGGAGGGGGAATTAAAGCTAAGATAGGAAACTAAAGTACGTTATAGAGAGGGTGAATAGAGTAAAATAAAGTACTAGGTGCAACAGCAGTTGTAAGGAAGCTAGGTATGAAATTAGAAGGAAGGGGAGGGATTTGAATTCAGCCTTGAAAGGGGGTTGAGTTTACAGGCAGTAAAATAACAAACGACAATAATAATAATAAGAGCAAACATTTAACATTGCCGTGTGCTCAGTTCTGGGCCTAAGGTTCAGACGAAGACAGTCATAAGCAGGAAAGGGTATGAGATTTGGGAACCAAATTAGTATTGTAGCAGGAGTGTACCAGGGAGTTGGGAAGACAGGATTATGAAGCGCATTAAGGAAAAACAGTTTCAAGGTTGATACTGCAGGACGCAGAAGGTTGTTCATCTTCAAAACCTCTTTGGGGGCCTCTGAGTCTGTAGGTACGGTTAATTGTAGCACTGTATTATTAAAAATAACCAACCCAATACAAATCAGGTAGTTTAGAATAGAGGAAAAAAGTTCTTAGTAACATTATACCGTTGACTTCAACACACCGCAAATAGCCTGCACTGTTATTCAGCAGAAGATTTAATAAGAAAAACTGGGGAAATGAACATAAAAGCTTCTCTAATCCTAAGAAAACAACTTCCCAGATGTCCTTCTTCAAATGCCAACAGCACAACACATACTGAAGATGCTCATTGTATGTTGCTTGGAATTTTCTGGAAACAGCCTCCTATTAAACTGGAATTCATGTGTTAGGGAACCTACTGTTCTCATTATTGCTTTGAAGTAACTCTACAGGAGGTTTTCAGGTAAGGGTGTTAATTCAGATACTTCTGTTGTCATCAGGGGAAGGAAAATGTCAGATATTTGTACGTAAAGTTGAATAATCAGATTATAATTACCTTCATTTGTTGAGCTTGCATTTACATTATATCATCTAATTTTCGTAACATATCAGTACATATTATTACACCTTTTTTTGTTAGTTTGTTTTGTTTTTGAGACAAGGTCTCTCTCTGTCCCCCAAGCTGGAGTCTCTCTCTGTCACTCAGGCTGGAGTGTAGTGGAATAGAGACAGGGTTTTTCCATGTTGCCCAGGCTGGTCTCAAACTCCTGAACTCAAGGGATCCATCAACCTCAGCCTTCCAAAGTGCTGGGATTACAAGCATGAGCCACCGCATGGGGCCAATAACCCCATTTTTAAAAATAAAGCATTTTAAACACACACACAGAGACATTTTTTCCAATATCTCAAAGCTAGAAAGTGGTATTTGGAGTCACAGCTGGATCTATCATATAACAAAGCTATTATTTCATGAAGCTCCACTTTGTCTCTCAAAACAAACAGCTCCTACTTTTCCCCAACTAACTCTGCGTCCCAAGGCCAAGAAAATCCTCTGTGGGCTCGGTTTACCTATGTATAAAAATATTGATCTTGATATATTGATATATAAAAATATTGATCTTGATATATTGATATATAAAAATATTGATCTTGATATATTGATATATAAAAATATTGATATTGATATACTAATATATAAAAATATTGATCTTGAAGCTTTTAGCCACTAGTAACATTGTAGATTCCATAACATCTATAGAAACATGAATAATAAAACTATAAAATTCTAACTATGAACTATAAAAAGAATGGAAAATTAGATTTATTAAGAACATATTGTGTGCCTTGCACTCTCTCATGGACCCTTTGATACAATTTATTTCATTTAATCTTCCCAACTCTCAAAAGGAAGTCATTGTTTCATTTTTCAAGTGAGGAGTGCAGACACCTTGTCCATAGATACCTAATAAGTAGTACAACCAGGATTTGAACTGAGATATGACTGCCACCAAAATTCCTTGCTCTTTCCTCTTTGTCATTGCTCAGAAAGAAAGGGGTAACCTTTATGGAGCGAAGCCATTGATGTTTAGTCAAACTGTATTTCAAATTATGTTTCACTTCAAATAATATTGGAAAATTTTACACGATAAACAAAGCCCACATTTGGAGATTTAATAGCCTTGCTCATTCTGAAATAATGTTCAAAGAAATAACACGGAAGTTATAAGGTTCGGCTATTAGTCATGATTCTAATACAAAGAGAATCAAACAAGTGTTGCTGAGAAGGTTTGGGGTTCGCTAGTATTTACGTATAAATGATGTCAACAAATATTTCCCATACTTCTTTCATATGATTACGGGAAATGAATTTTCATTTACCAAAAACCCTGTGTTTTGATTTACTTATCCTGATAAGCTTACTGACATTACTGCCTCCCTTTCAAAAGAAAATTCTGAAGTACTCAAGAATATTTTTGTTTTTCATAGACAAGTACGTTAGAACATGTCTCTCCTTGGCTCCTGTATTAGTCAGGGTTCTTCGGAGAAACAGAACCAACAGGATGGGTGGACATGCGGAAAGCGATTTATTGTGATGAATTATCTCATACCAACGTGGAGACTGGCAAGCCCAAATCTGCAAGATGGGCCGCTGAGCGCACATTCTAATGGTAAGATAATCTGCTTATTGAAAGTAAGCAACAACCTCAGCAGGAAATCTAGCACCTTTACTTTTCTTTTATATATATATATTTTTTTTACTGCACTTCAGGTTCTGGGGTACTTGTGCAAAACATGCAGGATTGTTGCATAGGTACACACATGGCCATGTGGTTTGCTGCCTCCATCCCCCCCATCACCTATATCTGGCATTTCTCCCCATGTTACCCCTCCCCAACCTCCCTACCCCCTGCAGTCCCTCCCTTATTCCCCTGCAACAGACCTAGTGTGTGATGCTCCCCTCCCTGTGTCCATGTGTTCTCATTCTTCAACACCTACCTATGAGTGAGAACATGTGGTGTTTGTTTTTCCTGTTTTTGTGTCAGTTTGCTTCTGAGGATGATGGTTTCCAGATTGATCCATGTCCCTATGAAGGACATAAACTCATCGTTTTTTATGGCTGCATAGTATTCCATAGTGTACATGTAGCACCTTTTCTTATATGCCACTCCATTGCTCCTGAT